AGTTCCCTGAAATCCTATATGGTTGCTCATGTCATTCCAGGCGAGGAGCAAAGTTACAGTGAAAATGTGCATGCGATGAGGGGAGTTTCCTCCTATATTAAGACATAATCTGTTTAGTGACACTAGTGTGAATTGCTGCCTCTAGGGACTGTGGGGGAATTGCCTTCTTCAAATTGAAACCAGTTTGGCTCTACACTGCCTGCAACTCTGCTCCAGGCCAGGACACAAAGTGCTTACCCACCACGCTCCTTGCAGCTGTAATAATATAGATAATCATGGAGGAGTGCTACTAAAATTAGAAGGATATGGCATATGCATATCAAAACAATACACACTCTATTGTGGGGTCTTTCAACCTATGTTTTTTTGATGAAAGTAAGTTAAACAGTTAATCTTGAGGCTTGATTAAAAGACAGTAGCATCTTCTACAAGTTCAGTCACACAGTCTACATGCTTGTGGAACTAAAGAGATATTCCCATTAATGCATGATTTTCTATTTTCACAGCAGATTTAATATTTATGTACAAAACAAAAAAAGAACAAAGGAAGCCAGCTTCAAATGTTGGGGATACACGTTCCCATTGAAGTGGGACAATGAAATGGGCTGTGAAACATGTGAAATACACAGTACCAATGTTCTCTGTGCTCCCTACAATGCTGTATTTATAGTTCTCAATACTTCCAACCATCCATGAACTCCTGCTGTGGAGCTCAGATGACAAAATCTGGTACAATGTGAGCCTACATTATAATCTGGGATACTTTACACCATTGCATAATGACAGCAAAGCTCTTCAAAAGTATATTCAAAGACCCTGCACGTTTGTACCCAATGGAGAAGAAAGCTTACTGCAGCTCACAAATGAGGATGTTGAGCTATCTCAAGAATAGAAGAGAAGAAAAGAGAGAACTAATGAAAACTGGAAGGAAGAGAAAAAGTCAGAAAGAATGAGGAGAAAGAAGAAGAAGAAGAAGAAAAAAATACTATAAACCTTCAGGTAAGCTTCTGGAGTTTTCATTTGAAATGAACATAAAAAAATTACTTAGCTGCCCAATCCATTAATAACTTTCAAATTATTTCAAATGTTAAATATGCAACTGGAAAAGGAGGTATGAGTTAAAAAGATGTCAGAAAGGATGCATTTTTTATCTGTTTGATGATGGCTTCCAACTTTACAAACCATTTGCAAGGTTTTAAGCATTCAAACAGCTGCAAATAAAGTGCTGGTCTTCATGCTGATGATTAATTGTCAACTTATCATGGATGGCTGGGTGATGGGACTGAGAAACTGGACCTTTGTATGAATGCTGTTGTGTAAAGAGCCAGCAGGAAATGTACCAGTCATTCCTACAAGGTGAACTTTCATAAGTTATTTAAGCTTTGAAAAAACGTGCTTCGGGATTCGCTGCACCTGAGGAAAGTAAGAGATTTCTAGTGCTTCTGTCAGCAGTCAAAAAAGAAAGAGCAATTCCTGCGAGAACTATTTTAAGTAGAATTATTTCCAACTAGATGTCCACAGGCTTTCTTGGCACTGTCTGCTGCCCCCAAGGATCTTGTTCCCACTGAAATGAATGGTTTTCTTCACTGTTGTATGGGAGAGATCCAGCTGGTAATAAAAGGCATTGGAAAGCTTGGGGGCTGCCTTCCACAGGTTAGGGTACTCACAAAAATATTGACATGCAAATGTGTCACAACAGCCTCCATCTGCAGTGAGCTCCCACAACTCCCATCAAAAAAAGACATGGTCCTCAAACACCTTTAACTGCCTTTGTGAGGGCCCTCACCTCGCCTGTCATGGCAAGCAGCTGCAGCAAGCACAACACAGATCCCAGGCTCTGCCTGGGAACAATGCGTCTCGTTTGCAACATAGACCTGGCCACTGGTCCAACTTCCACCAAATTCAACACAAACAGGTTTATTTAACAGACCAGATGATACACCTTGCCTCACACCAGAACAACAACAGTAGTGTTTCCTGCCCAGTTCCCCAATTAATCTGCCCATCAAACTGCTCAACAGCTTGTCTCAGTACTTCTCTGACTATATTAAATGTCAATTTAAAAGTAAATTCTAGTATAAATAAACCCCTTCTAGCAGAACATAGAAATATGCTTTTATTGTAGTTTTATGTCTGGCACAGTGAAAAAAACAGCAACTCTGCCTTTAGACATTTCATAGCCTTTTTTATTGCTCAGTGAAATAATATAAGAGCTTTTTAATGTCAAATCCTGGATGTTCAGAAACTTTTACCATGTTAATGGCTCCTGCACGATTCTCAGTTTCAGTCTCACTTTATTTTAAGGAGGTCAGAGAATCTGTAATTAACCGAGCCCTTTGTAAACCAACACCGTTTGGGCAGATCAGAATCTTTACAGTTACAAGCAATGTCACTTACAATCAACCTGAAAGACAGGAGCTAGTGGATACTGTAATTTCCACATTAAAAGTTTAGCTCCCTTAGCTTTAAGAGGCTTTGTCCACATACTGAAAAGAAACCATTTTAGGAACACATAGTCTTTTTCCAACAAGCATTAAACATCCGTGTTAAGACATTATTAGTAACAAATCATGTGCTGTAATCCATAAGGTTCTGTGAATATCTGCATCAAGTAATAGAGCACTGATTGGCTAATATAAAAGATATAGTACAAAATATGTAAGAAGGATATTCTACAATATATATAAATATATATATTTCACTGGTGCATAAATCAGTTGTTGTTTATTAAAGTTACCTCCATGATTACATAAAATCCAAAATACTGTGTCAGTACATGCTGAAATATTTGAAGGTCAAACCTACTCCTATACCATAAAGATGAACTGCAAAGTGCTACAAAATAAATTACAAAAAAATTATGTAAAATCCCCAAGCAATAACTGTGCACGTTTATGCATATAAATATAATGAATCAGAGAGAACTACCTTTTAAAATTAAGTATTTCAAAAATCAACTGCCAAATTCCAGCTCTGCGAGTTTGCCTTTTCCTTGCCAAAATGAAAGGGTTCAGATTCTCACCTCATTTGTTTGGCAATAAATTGTGAATACATAACTGAAATATGTTGATTTTGTCCCAGCAAAACTTAAGACTGGAATCTGGGCTACTTGGTCAAGTTCTGTTCATGATACAACTTACATTTGATGTAACTCCACTGACTTTAGTTCAAATATCACTGACGTAAATGATTCTCCATTGATTTAGAATCAGCTCAATGGCAACAGATATTATTTCAACAGGAGGAGAGATTCATGTGTAAGCAAGAAGTCTGAGAAGAAAATAATTAAATGGAAGTTAAAAGAGAATCAGTAAGCAGAGAAAAGAGAAAGCTAGTATCTCTCTAAAATAAGACCATGTCCACGCAGACTTAGGAAGGAAAAAAGGCAGACATTCCTAATATTATTTCTGAGGAACGGCAGAACACTTGTTGACATCTAACTTCAAACAGAAACTATGACGGATATCCTTAATTGCAGCCATCCCTCCCCAAATGACCACAGTATGTGCAGGGTGACAAGGACACCACAATCCTAGGTCATCAGTAGACTTCCAGCTCTGCCCTCTTCTTTAATGTGGGGAGAACACATCTTTGGGACAGACTTTGGAGAAGTGAAGAAAGCACTTAAGCAACTGCAACTCCTCTGCCCTAGCCAGTGGCAAGAGAAAGGAAATATCTCACTACATAAGCCTGGAAGAACGCAAATGTGGACATATTTCTTGATTAATAAGGGTGTTTCCAAAACTTGAGCACCGCAGGAATAAAGAACCTGGATGCAAGAGGCTGAAGAGAAGACAAGAAAAAAGTTGAAGAACTAAGGCAAAAAGTGAGTAAGTATATGGAGATAGAACAAAAGAGTCACAACAGTATTGTAGAAAGAGAGGGATGGTGTATGCTGTAAAAGACCACAGCAAAAGAAAAGACAACAGTGTTTCAATGGATGAGTGAAAATGGTTGAAATTAAAAAGCAAAAACAATGAAAACCAAATACAGAAGCAACAAAACAATACCATCTCTTCTTTTTTACTAAACACAATTGTAAGGAATTAAAATCAAACCATAGCTCAGAAATGTAATCAAAATGCACAGAAATGTAATCTCAGTCATTTGCTGCTAGTCTTTGTAGCTAAGTCTTGGTGAAAAAAACAGAAACTTCATCTTTCTTAGAATGATTCCCTAACCTGAAAAGATCAAATTATAAATTCAAGATTTGATAGGTAAATAGCATGAAAATCAATGCCTAGCACTATATCTAAATGAAGTCCCTGCTCTTGTAAAATGCTTGTGCCTTTCCTTAGCTTTTTAGAGTAAACTTTTCTCAGAAGAGAGTAGGCTCTCCTCTGAAGTATACTGAAGCATACTCTGAAGCATACTTCACAGTTAAATATGAACAATTCAATAGGCCTGCAAGTATACAGTCTGAAGGACCAACCGTATAGTGTTGTTGTTCTTGCTCTTGGCTCAGAATCTGCATTCCAGACTACTAAAGATTAGTACACTTACCCAAACTTACAGACTATATTGAATAAGCACGATCTAACTGAATGTGTAAGTGATGGCACTGGTTCAATACCCAAACACACTAATGAACGGTATTGCCACCTTTCTGTATACAGCTCATACTCTCCATCTTCCTCGTAAAGTCAGTGGAACCACATATAGAAATAAGATCTGCATGGCCAGCTCTGTAATTTACTGCTTTAGGATTTAAGGCCATATCCTGAAAATATATAAGAACTTAACTTTAAGGATGTGAGCATTCCCATTGAAATCAATGAGTTTACACACACACACACACACTCAAATTAAGCATTTGTAAAAGTTTTGCAGAGCCACTAATGCAATAAAATAAAAGCAACTTTGCAGTTCACCTTTGATAAATATTATTTATAAAAACAACATCTTTCCAGTTAAGTTCAAACAGCAAAAAATTGACAGAGGAAACAACATAACGTAATTTCATCTCAATGTCATCTTGGAAGACACAGTGAGAATAAGGCAATAGGAAAAAGTGTGATAGCTTATTTCTGGACTTTCTTGAGTTTTACAGCTGCCTCAGGGCTTGGCTTCGCCCTGCTCTTGCAAAAACAGCTACTGATTTGAATGTACTTCTACAGTTCTCCAAACACAACCAATGTCTAAAAGAGAAGTCCAAGGGAGGTGACACTTCACTGGGCAAGAACACTGTCCACTCCCTAGTGTGCAGCATACAGCTTCCACAAGCTCAACAGCCCCTCTCTCATCTTTTCTTTATTTCATTTACCCATCCAGTGGGATCTTATGAAATAAAACAAAACCTAAAAGAAACAAAATAAAATATGAGAAATCATGCTTTAAAAAAAAGTCAAAAGAAAAATTAATAAAGAAGTCCAAACACAAAAGAATATTTGACAATCAAACACATAAACATAAAACGCATTTAAAGCATACATAAAATGTTAAATAAAAACAGTACATGAATTTATGAAAATGACAACATTAGCTCTATCTTGTGGCCAATGATTTTATTTGTTAATTAAAAACATATAAGGCGTGTTACTCATTTGTCTTTAACATATCAAAACACTTATATTGAGCTGTAATCCAATAAATCTAGAATCCTCCAACCAGGGACTGATGCATGGGTCAGAAAAACCTCAGTCATGTGTCCTGTCTTGCGCAAAGGCCTATGGTGAACAAGCCTGGGTGTCTTTGGTCTGGTCCATCAGCTAGGTGAAAGGAAACCTACTATACCACAGAGTTACTGTAAGTACAACACAAGGGTCTTCTGCAACCTTTGTTTCACGCCTTAGCACTGTGCACATCATCCTTTCTGCCTGTTCCAAACAGGCTCCTGCCCTTAATGTCATTAAATGACTTCATAACGGCAGAAAAAAGTGGAGCTGGGGGAAGTATTAGTTAATTATCCTAAAATTTATTGTTTCTAAATATCAACAGGAACTTAAAAATCAACAACTAAATAAGATGGCACATTGAAACACAAGTAAAAAGCCCTGGGTCATGTTCTGTTCTGAGATGGAGAAACTGTGTACACCACCTGTCCCTCAAACATTACCTGACCATCTAAGGCTAATAACTTTAAAGAAGGCTATGTTTGGCCCTGTGTGAAATCCAAGTATCTGACTCTATAGCATAAATACTTCCTAGAAGAGCATTGTCTTACCCAGTCTGTTGTTATCTGATGCAGTTGAGTTATTATGTACATCACTGTTGACAGTCACCATTACTTGTTCTAATGACATTTAAAAAAAACATGTGAGAATTGTACTATTATCCTGCAAATGTAAACTTCATCAGTAGTTTTGGGGTTTTTTTACCTTGCTTTAGTAAATTCTCAATGTTTATGAAGAGTGAAAGCTTATCTATATTCCACAGCACTTTATATTACAATTCAGAGGCAAATCTTGATTTGCCTTAAATGAATGGAACTTACACTATCAGTTTCAAGAGGAGTTGAATTTGACTGTTAGTAATTAAGTAACAATGACTAATTCATTTACATTGCATTTTCTTACTTGTTCTAACCTTGAGGCACTCTTAGTACTTCTACACTGCAAGTAGGTAACGGCACACTCAGAAGCTGAACATGCTAGCTTTGAGCCACTGCACATTTCCAAAAGGGTGTGGCAAAATTCCTCTTCTCTGAAACAATTGATAAGGTTTAGTGTAAGGCATCAAATAAAAAACAAAGGGACCTTGCTAATTCACAGACAAAAATATAGTATCAGTTGAAGTGAGCACCATTTCAGAACATCTAGACTTCTGCACAGGTACTGTTTTACCTGGAGAGGACAGCTCTAGGCTAGACTGACATTGAGAAGATGAGTTTCTCACAGTCATATCCACACGTACTGATGAGTATCTTAAGAACTTGTAAGGAACACTACATTATTGTTGGAATCTGTGCTCTTCCTGAAGCTTAAATCATTTGGGTCCTTGCTACTTCTAATGCCTCCTCTTACATAAAATATCTTGAAAGGAATTAAAATAGTTTTGCTTTACCATTAAATTCCCAACGATAATTCAAAACCAAAACTGTATCATTCACTGAAAATTCACTACATCACACAGTGATTAACACCACAGCCCTAAAAGCCTACTGTAACGTCAAGAAAAATGCACAGCTATAAAATATGTTGACCTTCCTGACTGTATACACATGTTGCAAACTCCATCTAACAGGGTTTGAGGGAGACTGAGGATCCGTTTCTGCACGTGGTACAAAGGTGGCAGGCTTTTCCAGGCCTTTCTGCAGTATTTTTACTGAGTCACTGTAGTTAATCATTATCGCCTAAGTAATTTTCTGAAGGATGTTTGGAAGTCACAGGTTAGATGGAAAAAGAGAAATATCATTAGGGTTTTGGTAGTCTAGAATTGGAAGCTACATTTCCTTCAAATTTCCTAGGCCATTCAGACCTCCTCTGTGGAATTTTGTTTTCTTAAGTATTTGAGATTCCATGAGTTCTTGGACACTAAATCAAAGGACAGATATATGTATTTACATAAAAACACACATCTACACCACACTTTTAACACTAAAGCAAAACATGGCAAGTGAAAGCTTTCTGGCCTTTTAGTTTGTACCTTACCTCGTCTGCTGCAATCACAATGAATCACATTGCTGTATTTAAAGTCCTCTCTGAATTTTCATTTGAGAATTTGTTAACTGATAAACTATTAAGTGCACAGTACTATGCAAAACACAGGCAGACAATACATCTGCTTACATTTTTAGTTGCATCAGCAATCAGTATATTAGTAACTCTAGTAGTCAGCAGTGATGTCTAAAACAACCAATATGGAAGAAGACTCAGGCCTAAGACCTGAGCAGTCTACAGGAGTCAAGAAGTCCACAAAGGAGCCATGCAAGTCCTATCAAAGGCAGAAGAATTAATCACAATAAATACAACTTTCTTCTTTAAGGAAAGAATGGTTAATAGAAGGGATCCCATGAAAAAAAAAAAAAAGAAAGAAACAAAGTAAGAAAGAAAGAAAGAAAAGAAAAAGGTTAAAAAAAAAAGGAGTCTACTGACTTTATTCACTGAAACATGAAAAGCAGCCAGGGGAAGTATGTAGAAAAGAAAAGGACACAGAAATAAAGAATTTGGGGGGGCAGGGAGGATAGCAAGGTTCTGACAGGGCACAGGTAAAATGGATCAAGGAAAAAGGATTGAAATACAACAGACTGAGAAACTGAACAGAAGTGCTTTAAAAAAATCATTCCAGGAAAGGTAGAAAAATTTACAAACCCATTAAGCAGCAGACGATCTGGACTTAATTTGTACACTAGCTCTCTGTTTGGAGGCATTGAGCTAATAGAGGCAAAACACTATGGGCAGTGGGTATTTAGATGATTTCTCATGTCCTAACTGCCAACCTCTCATCTGGCTTCTCAGCATTCAAAAGGAGTCAGTTAGGCAGGTTGAGGCAAAGCCTGATTTTGGCTTGAGTTGCTGCTGGGGCACTGTATTCCAAGTTTAGTATTAGTTTTAAAGAAAAATTGCTGTTATGTAAGCTGCCACTCAGACTTGCAGAGGAAAGTACACTGAAGAATGAAAATAAAAAACTCAAAATAAAAGTAGAAGAGAGAAAAAAAGATATCCAACTTCCCTGTAGAAGGAATGACAGAACTTCATTCATCCTTTAAGGGAACATTATGTATCTGTCTCTCTCAGATGCAAATATGTCCAAGACAATAAAGAAAATAATACGTAGTTTCAAATGTAACCTCCTGATATTTTATTTCCAATATCAGCTCTTCATTCAGAGAGTTTTCAAGTGAGCACTGTATTCATTATTAATCTTAAAGCAAACATTATAATGATTTTGCAATACACTATTTTGGGGACATCAGATTTAAGTCTAACTGATCTCCCCCAAAGAGATTGTTCTATAGAATGTGTAGTTTGAATTATGTTATCAATATGGATCCTGCTGAGCCAACAGTGAGGATTTTTTTTAATCCTACAGTTGGCTTTCTGGAAGTACCACAGATGACTATCTCATGAGCTTTGCAAATCTGTATCTCAGATACTGGATGATCCATAACTTCCTAAAAGTTTACTCTCATTGGGAGCTGGATAAAATGCCCTTAAGACCAATTGTTTTCAGCTCTTCTATTCATTAGGAAAGAAAGCAGAAAAAGAAAAGTATAATAGCAAAAAAGCCATATGTTTATACATACTGAACTCATTCTGAAAAAAGAACCTTTCATAAACCTGATCCTTTTTATTTGTGAAAAAGCCGATCTTTTCCTCCTTGAACCAGCACACAACACAGAATTGAGAAGTTAAAGGCAACATAACTTCTAATGCATTGCTGTATTTGGGAACATCACTGTTATGGGGATAGCCACACATCCATGGGCTCAATTTCTACCTGTCCCATACAATCTTGATCACGCCCCTTCTCACTGGCTATGTTCCCTACAAGCCTTCTCCTAAGTCATTCAGGAATGAAAATGTTCTGACATCTTCATCTTCTGAAGTTCTTTCCGCAAAGTGAGAGGATAAATTATAGTTGTCTGAAATCCTTTATGCCCCAACAGGATTTGAAATAACATATTCTGATGAACTGGAATAAATTTGAGGTCTGCAGGCAAACTTTTTCGGTCACTACAAACAGGTTCTAAACTCTGTCAAAGTAAAAAAAGTTTCCTGTAACGATGACTTAACTGAATTCAAAACTAAGTTTCATATACTCACATCCCACTCTCCAAATAGGTCTCTACATATGAGCTGCACAGATTTGGAGATCATGCAAGTAAACTCAAGCATTAAAGGGGAAAGCACAATCTGAGAAACTGGAAGTTTGTATGATGTTAAGTCTAGTTACACCTTCTCTTTTCACCAAGTACATATGGTTTATCCTAAGCAGAATGTTACTTGGGACCTTGATCAAACAGAGTATTTTGAAACAAAAATCAGTCTACATTTTTACTTTTTCCAGCTTGGAGGAAATGGAGCATAACATGACATGTATCTCTGGTCTTTTTCAATGAGTGGTGATTTATATGGAGAAAGCTCAAATTGCTGATTGGAAGGAAGGGAGGACAGCGAAGAGAAGAGGTAGCTGCATTACTTATAAAGGTATTCCTATCAAATTTGTCAGTTTCTGATTTCAAGTAGAAAATTAAATTAAACTGTTCATTCCTACTTTTGTTTGCTTCTCAGATCTGAGCCACTGCTTCAAAGAGCAGTGCTGGATAATCCTGTGGAAAACTGAGGACAAAATGTCAGCTAGTTTTTATTGGAATGCAAGGAGAGACTCCTGGATAGGTTTCTGGAGAATGTTTATTGCACAAAGAAGAATAACGCCTTGACTCATTAGAGCAATACCTACACAGCAGGAGAAGATAAAATTGTCTGAAGAAATCTATACTTTTTCTTAGGATTCTGCAGGTTTTGCATGCACCAGGCTCAATACTGCCTTGTGCTTCGGAGCACAGTGACATAAACATTTACTACAACTTTTTCTTTATTTCTAAACGTTGCTTTTACCTCATGAGGCACTAAGACAGTATTTTTCATTCATGTCATTAAGAGCTCTAATGACACACATAAATATTACTTTTTTTACCTAAAGATAAAAGCATGGATAAGAGACAAACAAATGAAAATCAGAGATCTAAAACCACTAAGACTTGGACATGCTCTTAATTCATTAGAGGCCAGGGATTCACAGAAAATTCTGGATCCAAATTTCACATTAGTCTCACTTTCAAGAACATTGAATCATAGAATCTTTGGGTTGGAAGAGACCTTTAAAGGTCATGTAGTCCTGCAATAAGCAGGGACATCTTCAACTAGGTCAGGTTGCTCAGAGCCCTGTCCAACCTGACCTTGATGTTTCCAGGGATGGGGCATCTACCACCTCTCTGAGTGACCTGTGCCAGTACTTTATCATCCTCATTGTGAAAAATTTCTTCCTTAGTTGAAATCTGTCCTCTTTTAGTTTAAAACCATTACCCCTTGTCCTGTCACTACAGGCCCTGCTAAAAAGTCTGTCCCCATCTTTCTTATAGGCCCCCTTTAAGTACTGGAAGGCTGCAATAAGGTCTCCCCGCAGGCTTCTCTTCTCCAGGCTGAACAACCCCAACTGTCTCAGCCTGTCCTCACAGGAGAGGTGTTCCATCCCCCGATGACTTTTGTGGCTAACTGAACTTCTTAGTAATTGGCAAAACTAGAACCATAATTAAACAGTCTATCAGTTGTACATCAAGATAAAATGTCT